CTCTTCAATTATGGTACCGGAACTTTTAAGTTCTTATAACGACTTAAAAATGAGGCTGCTTAGAATTCTATACACCACCTTCAACCAAGCTGAGCCTTTTATCAGAACTTTTGGTTACTTAGGATAGGAGTCTTCACTAAAGTAGGTCAGAAAACCAAAGACGTTCGGAAGGTGAACATTGGTTCGGATTTCTGTCAATACGTGGCGCTAGTGAGCATGTATAATTAATTGAATCTGTACTTTCATTAATTGAATCAGTACTTTCCGGAGCAGTTCCGATCTTTACTGAAGTGACTCAGTACTTTCCGAAGTGATTCCGACCTTTTTTGAATTTATTCAGTACTAAACTGCCGCTCTTCGCATGTCGGTCCCATGGCAAAAATCAGCAAGCCGAGAAAATCGCATTGATTCGTACCATTGCTTCTTATGTGATGAGACAACCAATTTGGCTGTCTTTCCAAACTTTTTCAGATCAAAGTTTATGAGTTCATCCAGTATTATGAAAATATGGGTGATCAGCTACCATTTGCATTGTAAAACTCAGTTTTGATAAAAATTGCTTTGGGACCGACATGCAAAGAGCGGTAGTAAATATGTGTAGTGATTCCAAACATTTCTTAAATGTTTCAGTTCTTTACGAAATTATTCAGTGATGAAGTGATTCAGTACCTTCCGAAGTGACTCTGAACTTTTCTGAAGTGATTCAGTTCTTTCTGAACTAACTCTAAACTCTTCTGAAACGATTCAGTGCTTTCCAAAGTTATGCAGTATTTGCGGAAGTGATGATACACTTTTTTGGAATAATTGTGATTTCAAAATTTCTAAAGTAATTCAGTACTTTCCGAAGTAACTCCGAACATTTCTCAAGAGATTTAGTACTTTCAGAATTGATTCTAAACTTTGCTGAATCGATTGAACACTTTCCGAAGTGATTCAATGCTCTTTTGAATCAGTGTTTACCGAAATGATTGAAATCATTTCTACAGTGATTCAGTACTTCCAAACTATCCTGAAGTGATTCTGGACGTTTTTTTTTTAAGTAATTCAGTATTTTCCTTGAGCCATTCAGTATTTTTAAATGATCCTGAACACATCTGAAGTGATTCAGATCTTTCCTGAAGTGATTCAGTACTGTGTTTTATTGAATTGGGTCATGCTAGTGCGTGTTGCAATACTTTTCTTTGCGATTCCATACTTATGACTGGTAATGTTTTCAAGTAATTCCTATATTTTCATTTCCGGGTCACTTCATATTCAAGTGATTTCAAACTTCTCAGATCCGGTACATTTCACATTTTTGCATGCATACTAGCACCACGTATTGACATAATTCAAAAACGAATTAAGCACTCTCCACCATGGCCTTCTGATCAACTTTGCCGAAGACTCGAACTTTCTATCAGGTCGAAATCACGAGATAAAATAATTACAAAAATGCTCAATTATGCATACACACTAGCTACACGTAGTGACAGAATTCCAAACTGACCATCTTCCGGACGTCCTTGGTATTATGAACAACTTTGCCTAAGACTCGAACTTTATAGTTCGTCGCGATTACGAGATAAAATAAATTCAAAAATGTTCAATTTTACATGCGCCTAGTACCATGTAGTGTCGGAATTTCGAACCTAACCAGGGCTGGAAAATGTCATCTTCAATGAAAGATCTCACGCGCTTTTTTACAGAGATACTTCTGTCACTATCATCGGATGAGAAAACGATGATAGAGATTATCTTCAAAACCTCATCGAATTTTTTGTCATGACTGAACGTGACAGTGTTGTGATCATCGTAATTACTAGCTCATTTAGTGCTATTCAAGTTACTTGTACCAAGGAAATATTGAGAATATATTCACTCTACCGATTACATATGGTTGCTTGCTTAAAATAATCTAAAGCAGTTAGAAATGTTGATGTCAAAATCGCATATAAATTATTCTCACGAGTGCTTGATCATTGGAAAATGACAAGAAAGCAAAGGACCTGTTTTCTCATTGTTACATGACGGACGTGATATTTACCAGATCTGAACCAACGCTTTTTGGACGCCCTTGGCCTTCTGGATAATCAGGATTTCGAGATATAGGTGATGCTAAACTTTTTGGGAGGTGATGCAATATTAAAACTGTTATTTCATGTGTGCTAGAATTTGAAAATTGATATCAAATAATAGGGGGGCCGCAATACAAAATATATCAGTGGCCCCAAGGGTGGTTAAGACAGCCCTGGCCACAATTATTTCGTCGAGATTCTGGGTGAAACTTCCGAAGGAAACACTAGTCAGCAATATTTAAAAATTGTTGGCATCCTTCGACCAAATGTAATGAATATAATAGATATTGCCTCACTGAATCCAAATATGTACTCAGGTTTTGAGAAAAAACGAGTTTAAATTCACAAATGTACGTATTTTTTGGCAATTTGGGATTGCCTGTTTTGCCAAGCTGGATTTCTGCACCGTGCCTTTGAAAGATTCTCTTGGATTTTAAAGAATGGACCTTGCTGAACCATACGTGACGACATATTTTTTCTAGCACGCACATTCGCTGAGAAAACCAGGATCAAATTCACAAAAGTACGTATTTTCACGGAAATCTGGTTTGACTGTTTTGCCAAGTTGGATTTCTGCTCCACCTTTTGAATGTTAGACTTGGATATTATAAAACTCATACAAGACGGTAGATTTATTTATCACGCATAATTGTTGAGTGTACATTCACAAAAGTACGTATTTTCATAGAAATTTGCTTTACCAGTTCTGTCAAGATGGATTTCTACTCCGCGGTTTCAAAGTTAAGCTTGGATTTTATAGAATGGATCTTACTGAATCCATACGTAACGGTATATGTTTTCTAGCACACACACAATTATTGAGTAAACCGGGTTTATTCACAAAAGTATAGAAATCCAACCTGGCACTAGAGTCAAACCAAATGACCATGAAAATACGTACTTTTGCGAATTTGATGGTGGGTTTACTTAAAAACTGTATGTGTTGCAATAAATCTGAGTTCATAGTTTGATTCACCGAGGTAAAATCAATCAAAGTTATTACAACACTGCCGACTGAAATCGAAACAATCTTCCAGGAGGAGTTAGAAAAAAAATGTTTGGTGGAAATTGGAAGAATCTTCTGGAAAAATCCGAAAGAAGAGTTTTTGATGGCAGTCGGAATAAACTTCTAGAAGTCGAAAAAAAAAAGTTTCCGAAAGGAAGACAAGTTAGATGACACTTGTGGGGGATGCCAGATGGAATTTTAAGGGTTGTTGGATAAATCATCCGGCAGAAATCGGAGGAGTTGGAATAAACTTCCAGGAGAGGATGCAAGAATATTCCAGTGGAAGTTGGCCGAAACTTCCAGAGAAAGTTGGAAGACCGTGAGAAGACAAACGAAGTCAGAAGTAACTTTCGTGGGATGTTGTTTTCGACAGGAGCCAGAAAGACTTCTCACATAAACTTCCGAGGGAAACCAGCTATAACTTCCGGTGAAGAAAATTTTCAATAAAAGAGGAAACCTCAGACGGAAGTCCAAAATAATATCCGAGAGATGTTCCACAAAAACTTCCGGTAGAAGTCGGAAGAATCTACCAAGAAAGTCAGAAGAAAGTTCCAAAAAGTACAATTCCATTAAAAGTAGGAACTCGGTAGTAACCTCCGGAGGGAGCCAGAAGTACTTCTTGAAGAATCTTCCGAGGGGAACCCAAAATATTAAAATTGTGGCTCAAACTATTTAATGCTTCTGGGATCGTTAAAAACTACGAAAAACTACATAGGGTGCAGGGGTGCAGCAGTACTTTGGTATATGGGACCCATTTCCATCATACGCGTCAAAAATGAACACAAATGGCAACATTAATGCATCAAGTTCTTTGCTCATGAAATGATGTAAAAACAAATTGAACGGAGCTGTCGGAAGACTGAGTTAAGGGAGGTGTGCCGATGTGAAGTGAGGTATGCCGAAATAGTGCCGCCCTAGTTATTCGATGGATCAAAATATTTTTCGATCCCCGAGAAGAGCCATCAGCTGCCCCGGGTAAAAAAAGTCAGGCTATGAAAAAAAATAGTGTAGTTTTGCCAGTGCTGCAAAATCTCGACCATACACAAAACAATACAGATTTGGTCGCTCATTCGGTCGCGTAAAAGTCACCTTCAAGCTAAACCATGTCAACTGTCAGTGACATGCTTGTGCAGTTTTTGTTATTAACTAAATAAGCTCTATGTCCTCAACTGCCTGGATAACAAAAAACTGTCACAGAATACTCGAAATTACACCTTTTGTTACTACGTGAATCTCTGTCATTGACGAAAAAATTAATGAGATTTTGACGAAGGGTTTTTGAGAATCAGCGACGATGTCAAACATAGCTTTGTCAATATCCCGTGAAGTCTTTCAATGACAATGACAACATCTCGGCACTGGTCTTGACTTAACGTACATTTCAACTCTCCTTCTCTCTCACTTTTTTATAACTATAAGCCAACTCATTTTTTTTCTAATCGTACCGCTGAAGCTGAAGCATTAAGTGAGGAAAATCGGTTTTCCATTCAACTCCGTCTCTTTGGTCATTCACATCTCATATAAGAAAATGTATCTTCTACGAAAGATTTCCATGTATCACACTCGCCAAACTCGGAACCGCTTTGACACCATGAACACTTGTTTTGACGCGAGTGTATTATTTATCGCACTTTTTTTTTACTACGGCTTCGCGGTGTAGCCTATTTATAGTGTTGTCGCTTCGTTCCCACTAGCTAATAGGCACATCGTTGTTTATTTACACGGTCCTTCCATAATCAGATTAACTAGGTCCACAATATATCGCATCGGGTAGGGGCAAAGTTCTAATGTTCTCAACGGGAGAACGTTAACTGTAATTAGAGGTATCGATCGACTCGATTGTGTTTGATGGAATTGAGTCTATTTGCGCACTGATAAAATAAACATGAACTTTCCACGAAACAATTGCATACTGTTATTGCATTTATCAGGCTCACTTCACGTTTTCCGCGATAGATCCATTCGGTTGATGAGTTCTAGCTAAACTGAAACGTAACCGGCGGCGGTAGTTGAGTTCAAAGTTTGAAAGCGCACTTTCTCGGATTATGGCCCGTATATACGTTCAACTGATTTAATCATATGGCTGTAATATGGACCGCGTTGTCCGTGTAACGTTCTTTTTTACATTTGTGTGCAATAGACGGCTCTATTCTACTTGTGTACGCTAGTCGTGTGATATGCACTGATAAGAAATGCCACGACGCTCGTGTGTACGTGAAGCCAAGCGACTTGTGTTTGTCGTTCGTTCTGGAGTTCATTTGCCGCAGTCAGCGATGAAAGTGATGGACATGTTGTGTATATCATCCTTACGAAAATTGAACAAACAGGTCGGGGGAACACACATCAACGGACACAGAATGGATGGGGTTCAAAATAGTTTCAAATTTGTGATGTGTTTACTGAAATGTGGCCAAGATACATTTATCATTTCTTCGTTCCAGAAGCGGCTCAATTAGATCCCTCAAATATAAACGGCTTGCAGCGCTGAAATGACAGCTGACGTAACTAATGAGACTCATTCCAGTATTAATAACTCTGAGGTGTTTGTAGCGGTTGGGTCACAAGGCCGAATACATTTCATCTTTAGCATCATACGTCATCCCAGAAAACGTGACCAGAAAAAAAGAACGATTAAACTCTTTGTTGCCTAACTTCTATTTATTTATTTGTAGACAATCAAGTATGTAGAAACAGGCTTGCAATTGCTCATTACAGCTAAAATGCTAATTTTTGGAATTATGAAACTATGAGATACCATAATGATAATTTTTATTTGTAAGAAGCAAGAATGGTTGGTAAAGTTTGTGTATGACATACACAATTGATCAATTTTGCTTTCAGAAGGTCACAACTAGCGATTTTATGATCTCTGATTGCTCACTCATCACGTTGCTCATCCCAAGTAACAATTTTGGTTTTATGAGGGCTCTGTAGACCATGATTTAAACTTGTAGAATGCTATAAAACCGCGATAAAACCTGCAATGTTACTTGGGATCGTTACAGCTAATTCTCTTCTTGCATGTTGTCAATAAGAATTACCATTAAAATATTTCATAGCTTTATAAATCCGAAAAATAGCATTTTAGCTGTAATGAGCATTTGCAAACTTGTGTAGAAATGGCAATCGTCTGAATGACCTAGACGATAGTTGTGACCTTCTGAAAGCAAAATTGATAGATTGTGTATGTCATACACAAACTTTACCACCCATTCTTGGTTCTTACAAATAAAAATTATCATTATAGTATCTCATAGTTTCATAATTCCAAAAATTAGCATTTAAGCTGTAATGAGCAATTTTAAGCCTCCTAGACGAGACTAGTTAAGTTATATGTAAACGCATTATATTTCTGTTTAAAAAAATTCTTAATTGGCATGGAATCTGACCTAGACCCAGGTCAGAGCAAAATCGTGCAGCCGTTCAGGATGGAAATCTTTCACGTTGGCCCTTTGCACCCCTACAGGGAACCAGAAGAATTTTCTGGAAGGATTGCAGAAAACAGACACTGTCTGGCGATGCCTGAAAGAGTTCTAAGAACTGCTGAAAGAAATAACCTGGAATTTGATTGGAAGCTTAAAATATTAGTTTCTGTCTCAGTCCGTTCATAGTGTTTTTTTTTTCTAAGTTTGAGATCTTCAACCTTACGCTGCACTCTAAAAAATCTTCACGTCCGCTTTAGGTGAAATATCACGTAACTGATTTAGAAAATCTCAAATGTTACGTGACTTTATTATTTTTAACCAGCATTATACGTCATGTTCACTAAAAATGATGGTGAAATCGACCGTATATTCACGTAAACAGATTTAGTGTATTTGTGTTAGTATATTTTATATTTCGATATTTCTGAGAAACGAGATTTACGTGATTTTCAGGTATGCCAAAAATATTGATATAGCTTCACCGAGTGCGGTGGAAGAACTCACCCAAGATTTAAAATGTCCCAGCAGCTTGCTGCAAATATTGGACGGTAATTTGATTCTTTCACAAAAATTTATGTATGATGATCCTAACTGCGCCTTTCCTATTTTTATAATTTCATTATGTCATTTTGGGTCTGCTAACAGTTGCTAAGGTCTGTATCAACATTAATCCGGACACCTTCAAATCACTGTAACTTTTGAAATATTGCACGTAAAAGTGAAAAAAATCGCTAAGGTATGGCTGGGAGTCATTGATGAAAAATACTATGATTGGTGTTTACAGTCCATGTTAAGTGTTCAAGATGGCGACGAATGAAAAACACGTGCACGAGCGTATTTTATACGGTCGTAACTTGCAAAAAATGGGATTTACCTAAATCCACTGTTCACGGTGTGCTCACATCATTTTCAAAACGTTTGACGGTCGAGAGGAAACCAAGAAGTGATAAAAACATTGGACATGCTGATTCTGTCATGGACCGAGAGGTGCAGAGGGTATTGAAGGAAAACCCGAATCTCTCTTTTCGAACGGTGGCTTGTATAATAGGAATGTCACCTGGTTTTGTCCAAAAATCAAAACAGCGTTTGGGGCTGAAAGTCGTATAAAGTAAAAACAATTCCAAATCGACAAACAGAATTTGACAGCAAAATCACGGGCTCGACGTTTGTACTGCGAATATTTGACGAAGTTTTCATGCGTTGTTATGGCCAAAAATGCTACAGCTGAGTATTTCAGGACGAAGAAGGCATCGAAATTTCCCAAAAAAATACCTTATTTGGCAAGCAATTTGCACGTGTGGCCGAAAGAGTAAATCTCTCGTCAATACAGGCACAATCAACAAGGAGATTTACCAGAAAGAGTGCCAGCAGAAGCGATAGCTACCCTTCATCAAAAGCCACAAAGAACATCCTTTATTCTGGCCCGATTTGGCATCATCCAATTAACTGTAATGGAGTGGTACGAAGCAAATCAAGTGAATACCAAAAACCGCAAATCCACCAAATTGTCTCTGATTAAGTGGAAGCTGTTTCTGGAAAGAAACAAGGAATTAAAGATATTAAACACTTCCAACAAATTCGGACGAAGACTGAGTCTGTACAAACCCTGGTACAAACCCTAATGGATGGTGTTAATCGCAAAGTTCGAAAAATTTATGAAAGTACCGAACAACTTTGTTTTAACTTCGTGAATTTTTAAATCAAATCCCATGAATCTGAAATAAACAACTACAATTGAAATATAATGCGAAATGGGTGTTTTACTTAAGTTTTCATGTGTCCAGATTATTGTGGATACTGATCTTAATGTTTTGTCAGAAATATTACAATTTATTATAAAACTCACAAAGATTTCTACCTCATTGTACTCAAGTAGTCAATAATTTTCAATTTTGTGTGCAGACATAAGTATAAATTAAAACACGTGGAATTTATATCTGCCCGATAAAATGGCATAATATTTACTGCTTCTATATACATTCAATTATTCTCATTGAAAATTCACGTACAAATACGTGAAAAGAATTTTAAATAAAACGGAATATCACATCAAAGTTGCCAGTTTTCCAGTAGTTATCACCCCAATTTCACGTAAGCAGTACGTGGAAATCAGATCTTATTTACCTAACTAATAACGTAGATAATTGAAGCTGAATTTTCTCGGCTATTCCGGTGAAAATTGCGTGTAAAATAGACAGAACGAAAACCACCTATGTTTTCTGGTAAATCAGATGTGAAGATTTTTCAAAGTGTACATTTTTCTGAAATATCTAGCCCCATAAGCTTGAACAGTTTTCTAAGACCAGGATTTTGAAATTCCCAATCACAGACTCCAAGTCTTGACATTTTTGGTTATTCCTGGTTATTGAATTTCTGTGATATGCAACGAAATATGGATAATCATTTGAAAGGAATCTAATTATCTCACCAAATTCATTGCAGAATGTCTAGCTCGTTTGAATTTAGATTCAGGAAAATTAAAGGAGCATAATTTCCAAAGATACTCCGAGTAATATTCCAGTAGGTTCAGAATAAATAGAGGATATAGCTCTAATAATGGCCTATGGATCTAAGACTGGGCCCATCGATAAAAATCTGCTATTTATCGATTTTACCTCGATGAACGCGTCATTGGGACGGTTCTAATGGATATTTTTGGTCGCTATTGAAAATTTAGTCAATAGCTGATGCAGGGGAAATGTTGACTTCGGCAATATCTTAACCTTTTATCGTCAGGGGGTAAACAAAATCCTAAAGCACTCAAATTTGGCCAATAGATGCTCTGAAACACAATGTATCCACATGCCAAAATTGAGCTCTCAAGGACGTTGTTTACTCCCCTGACGATAATATTTTAAGGTATTGCCGAAGCCAACATTTCCCCTATGGGCCCAAATTTGTGGCATTCAGACTGACATTACATCAATTTACCCTACCATAGGGAATTCTAAGAAGAGTTTCAAGAAAATTCCAAGCGATCCTCTTGAGGATATTTTGAGACGAGCTTCACACAATTTCTATAGAATTCTGAGGTGAAATCCATGGCATCATGGTTGGAAATGCTCATTACAGCTAAAATGCTATTTTTAGAAGTTATGAAACTATTAGATATTATAATAATAATTTTTATATGTAAAATGCAAGAAGAGGGGGTAAAGTTTGTGCATGGCTCATAAAACCTGTAAATTTTACTTTCAGAAGGTCACAATTAGCCATTATAGCTGTAATGAGTAATCGCGATGAGTGAGTACTATTCGTTATAGCCAGAGGTGGCAACAGTACATTTTTTGAAAAACCATCATCCAGTACGAAACAAAACAGCCAGCACACGGGTGACCGTGTATAACTACATTCCAAGCGAACAGCGGAGATAGAGAATAAATAAAATCTCGCAGCCTGATTTTTCCAAACAGTTTATTGTAATGAAATTTTAGCAGCAGGCTTGCGTGTGACAGTAAATTACCAACTCCCTTATTTACGCATAATTTTAACATCAATGCTTATGAGTGGTCAGTTTTCATTCTTATCTTTTAATTCCATGCAATAAACATCAAATAAATGCAGTACCCGAATAGAAATTTACATTAGCCCAACGTTTGATT